GGCACTTAACAACAACAACAACAATTATCACATAGTGTGCTAAGAGGGTAATGCATCTCTGAAGAAAACTGGATTTTTGTATTTGGAAACTTCTCAGACCTTCCCCTATGTATTTCTTCCTTTGAATAGTTCTGATTTGTATTCTTTCCCTGGAATAAATGTGATCATGCATATTTAAAAAAAAAAGTTAGGTGAGGTCACATGGGAGCAAGGCTGAGCTAAAGCTACTTTTTCTGATTCCTTCCCTTGTCCATGTGTAGATTTGGCACCAGCCACACCCCTTCTGGAGAAGGGGGGCCATTGCCCAAGAGTGCAGAGCACTGAGGGTTGACTAAGAGCACACTGAGGAGCCAAGGTTTGGGAGTGGAGGGAAGGGACAAGGGTCTCAGAAGCACAGGTGTACACATCAACTCCCACAGCCAGGCTGAGGAGCCTTCCCAACTGGGCTTGTCCTCTCCAGGCCTGGGCTGAGCTGAAGTTGTGTTATGTTCTCGGTATCTTGATGTTAAACAAGAGTTACCTCAATCTTTACCTATAAAAAATGACTGAACTCTCATCTAAGTGACACTTCTCTTGTGTCTCAAATTGAACTCAGACTGTGACATGTCTGGCCAGCTGAAGAAGCCGAGTAGATAGGGGGTGTTTCTTACCCGGGACTGCTGGTGCTTCTGGTAGAACTCATTCAGGTTAAAGTCCTCCAGATCGACCAGAAGGCCTTGCTTACACATTTCACATGTTCGCACGGCACCTAGATCTGCTCCTTAAGTTAGATAAAGAATGGTACATTACATATAGATCTGTTTGTGTTGGTACTTGGGACAGATGTTTTATATATATATTAGTTTTTGATGTTTACCTGTGCCTTATTGATTATACAAAGGCTTTCAGTTGTGTGGCTCATGACACGTTATGGACATTACAAAGAATGAGTATTCTGGAACACTTAATTGTGCTCATAAGGAATCTGTACATCATGAATGGGGAACATTTTCCCTGCCAAAATTTATAACATTCGTGGGCTGTACAAAATTTTCCACTTAAAGAATTTGCCTGCTATATTTAGATGGCTGGAAATGTGGTTGACTTGGCAGTACCAGACCAAATGATTGCTGGACATAAACCATGGGTGGGGAACGTCCAGCCCGAGGGCCATATAAGGCCCAAGAAATCATTTGGTCTGGCAGGACAGGTGTTATTTTGAGAGCCAACTTATGTGTGTTGTAAATTGTGAGCATCTGTGGCCTTCCTTTTCAAGCCAGCCATCTTCTGTAGAGGATGACCTTGAGCCTGAGAGCTGAAAAATGCCTTTTGTCATATTATGCAAGCTTCATAGAAGTGAAATTTCCATGACTTTTAAATAACAGGTCTTGCTTTCTATTTAAATATAAACAAAATGGTTACCAAATTGGAATTGCTTTGTGGAGGCTGAATCTACAATATGTTGTTGTTAAGTATAGTCGAGTGTTGGTTCCGACTCATAGAGACCCTGTATAGGGTTTCTGAGGAGCATCTGGTGAGTTTGAACCACCAACCTTGCCTTTCAAACCAACCTTGCAGTCCAGTACTTTATCCAATAACACTATACCAGGATTCTAAGAGTCGATAGAATAGATGTTTGCAAAAAGAGAGAACATTGGACCCATGATGTTTTTTGTTTTTTTTTCCTTATTTCTGGCAGACTTAACACAGGTCTAAAGTAATTAGTCAGTGAGTACCATGGATAGAAGATAGCTATGTAATGGAGCTCTGGTAGCGTAGTGGTTACGACTCGGGCTGTGAACCGCAAGGTCAGCAGTTCGAAACTACCAGCTGCTCCGCGGGAGAAAGATGAGGCTTTCTACTCCCGTCAAGATTTACACCCTCGGAAACCCTGTACAGGGTCGCTATGAGTCGGTTCCGACTCCACGGCACATAACAACAACAACAACATGTTCAATTTGTGGATGAAAATTCTGCCTTTAGTTTTCCTGCCCAGGTTGCATTCCCACCTGAGAAAGTGAGGGAGTTGGGGGCCAAGTGGGGGGATTAGTTGTTGTTGTTAGTTGCCATCGAGTCAGTACCGACTCATAGCGACCCTATGTACAACAGAACAAAACACTGCCCGGTCCTGGACCAACCTCACAATTGTTGCCAAGCTCAAGCCCATTGATGCTGCCATTTTGCCAATCCGTCTTGCTGGGTGTCTTCCTCTTCTTCTCTGACCCTCCAACTTACCAAACATGATATCCTTCTCCAGCGACTGGTCCCTCCTGACAATATGTCTGAAGTCTGAGAGATGAAGTTTGGCCATCCTGGCCTCCAAGGAGCACTCTGGCTGCACTTCTTCCAACACAGATCTATAGCAGCCCATGCCACTTTCAATATTTTCCACCAACACCATAACTCAAATACATCAATTCTTCTACAGTCTTCCTTATTCATTGTCCAGCTTTCACATGCATATGAGGTTATTGAAAATACCATGGCTTGGGTCAGGTGCACCTTAGTCCTCAAGCTGACATCTTTGCTCTTCAACACTTTAAAAAGGTCTTGTGCATAAGATTTGCCTAATGCAGTACGTCATTTGATTTCTTGACTGCTGCTTCCATGAGTGTTGATAGTTGATCCAAGAAGAATGAAGTCCTTGACAACTTCAATTTTTTCTCTGTTGATATGAATGTTGTTTATTGGTCCAGTGGTGAGGATTTTTGTTTTCTTGACATTGAGATGCAATCCATACTGAAGGCTGTGCTCTTTGATCTTCATCAGCAAATATTTTAAGTCTTCTTCACTTTCAGCAAGCAGGATTGTATCATCTGCATATCTCAGGTTGTTAATGGGTCTTCTTCCAATCCTGATGCCAGGATTTTAGTTAGAACAGTATTTATGGCCAGGACTCAGCTCAGCTCAGCGTCCTTTGGAAAAGGACCCCGGAGAAGGCTTCCTTTGTTGCTGGATTGTTGTTACATGTGTACATATTTTAAACACGCATTCTACATCAGCATTTTCTTTAGTTGACTTACCCTACCTTTAGTTGACTTTCCCAATGCAAAAGTGGAAGATGCAAAATTGCAGGTATATGTCCAAACACCCGGTCTTACACTTTTTTCTCAAGTGTAGTTGTTGCATTGCTGTTCACGATGTCCTGTAATTTATTTTATGCATCAAAAACTGATGACTAGTTGTTGTTGTTGTTGTTATGTGCCGTGGAGTCAGTTCCGACTCATAGTGACCCTGTACAGGGTTTCTGAGGCTGTAAATCTTTACGGGAGCAGAAAGCCTCATCTTTCTCCCGCGGAACAGCTGGTAGTTTCTAACTGCTGACCCTGAGGTAGCAGCCTGATTCGTAACCACTACGCTCCCAGAGTTACCTACATTTATTCAGTAAACATAGCGCTTGTACAATTTTACAGCCCGGTTTTATTTTTTCCCCACTGGGGGTACAAAGAAATACCAAATTAGAGAGAATTCTTAAAGGACAAGGCTGCTCAGTGATTCCCTATCTGTATCTCTGTTTTTTTTTTTTTTTTTTTTTTTAAATAGCATCATTCTGTAATGCTTTAGGCTACTGAACTCCCCATGTGTCTTCAGATCTAATCCTGCTGAAAATACCCATATTAGCATTGGCATTTACAAGCATTTAGCAACACTTTCATCACACAATTTAACGAGTACTTTTTCTGTGCTAGATGCTTAATTGGCTCAAATTTCTGGTAAGATAAAGCATCCTACGGCAGAGTCAATAACAAGCCAAGGCCACTGGTTTCTTCGCTCTTCGAAGGACGGAGTACATTGCTTGGCCTGCGAATGTGCGTTTAAGCATCTTGGGCTGTGTCCCACATTCCAGGGTGGGGAAGGTGCATTTATGGACAAAGAGCACTGGGGATGAGGCTGTTAATACAGTACCCCCACATGCTCATTCCTCTGCTTAAATGGTGTGCTGTTTTGGTGGTGGCTCAGCCACACCCCATGGGGATGAGGCAAAGCTCTGGGTCTTCTAGGCTGCTGGGAACGGTGGGGACCAAGGAGGAGAACATGGAAGAGGAGAGAGATTGGACCCGGCTCTGGGATGAAAGTCTGCAGAGGGCCAAGTCACAGAGAGAGCGGTGATTTCCTAATTGAGTCGCTCTGCATGGCGGCCCTGTGTTTTTTGGTTCAAGTTGCTCTCATTTCAAGAAGCATGCTTTAAAGAAACCTCCTGTTCTCTGCCAGGAAAACTCCAGCAGACCTACTGATGTGGCTATATTTAGGTTATAAGTTCCGCAGGGAGTTGAGAAGGGGTTTCACATCCAGTTATCAGATCTGTTAAAGAGAGCTGATACTACCAGCACACAGCAATCTCTATGGAAAATGGCTTCAGAAAATGAGAGCAGTGCTCTTTCCTACCCCTACTGCAAAAAGAGGGGTCCTGGAGTGATGCTGCAGGATAAGCACTGAACTGCTAACCACAAGGTCGGTGGTTCAAACCCACCAGCGGCTGCTCAGAAACCCCAGACAGGGTTGCAATGAGTCAGAACTGATTCGATGGCACATAACAACAACAACTGCAAAAAAAGGAGGAGCCTGGTGTGGTTATGTAGGATAAACACAGGGCTGTTAACCACAAAGTCGGCAGGTCACCAGCTACTCCTCAGAAACCCTGTACAGGATTGCTATGAGTCAGAATTGGCTCAACGGCATGTAACAACAACTGCAAAAAAGGAGGAGTCTGGTGTGGCCCTATAGGACAAGCACAAAACTGAGAACAGTGAGGTCACCAGTTCAAACCCACTAGCTACTCTGAGGAGAAAGATAAGCTTTCTGTTCCTGTAAAGGTATGTTGTTGGTGTTGTTATGTGCCGTGGAGTCGGTTCCGACTCATAGCAACCCTGTACAGGGTTTC